AATGTTCCATCGGGACATAAAGCAAAGGATACTGGCCTCTGGGCCACCCAGAGTGTAAGTTTGTACACAGCGGAACTTGTGTGTTGTATGTGTATGCTGCGTGTTGTTTAGCGTTTATTGTTATTTTTAAGAAATATTTGTTTAAGCTAGTGTGTCTGATTTATTACTTTTTTCCCCAACAAAGTTGTGCCAAAGAGCAAAGAACTCAGGTGCCTCTAATTATATCAACCACACGGTCATAATCTTGACAAAATTCTTACAAATTGGGTGTTATGATCATTTAATTTAATAACTGGTTAATCCCCTTGGCCTTCTGCTAAATTCAGTATTTACATAACCCCCTAGTTCTAACAACTGCATGGCTACTGGACACTTTTCATCTCTTAGTCATTTCAGAATGTAGACACAGGTATGGAAAGACAGTCAGAGAATCACAGAGAGAGAGAGACCAGGAGCTGAAGACGAGGAGAGACTCAGTGCCAGACAGAATTAGCACACACAAAAAGTTACAAAAACGAGAGGAGGCTGTTTTACCCATCTAGCCCGACTGCTAATTAGTAACTAATTGTGCCGAGAGTCTCCATCGGCCGTTTCTTTAAAGAATACAGGATATTGGCTTCAACAACATAGCTTGTTACAGACCCCCACCACCCTTTGTGTAAAGAAGCGCCTCCTGTTCTGCATGTATAACCGGGAGCAGGCAACGCTTCTTTACACAAAGGGTGGCGGGGGTGGGGAACAAGCCACCCAGCCATGTGGTTGTAGCCGATACCCTGGCTTCCTTTAGACACAAGCCGGATGGGATTCCTGGTTCATTGACCTAGCTCTCCAATGGACTAGACGAGCTGAATGCCCTCTAGCCAGAGAGACCCACAAGCCCCGAGCGCCCCTCTCACCCGATGCCGGCCCCCAGCTCCAGCACGGTCAGGCCCTCCAGATCGGGCAGCAGAGCCAGGATCTCGGGCAGCTCGTGTTGGGTCAGCAGCTGGGCATTGGAGTCCAGCATCATCTCCTCCACCGTGGCCTGCTGGGAGTGCTCCTGCCAGAACTCGGTCATCTTGTGCCGAACGACAGCTGGGCGGAGACAGGGGGGACAGCAGGGAGACGTGGGTAATGGTCAGAA